AGATAGAAACAACATTTCTTAAAGATTTTCATTTACTATACAGTTCTGGGAAATACAGGATTTTCTAGGTTTTACCACTATTTATGATTACAAACATCAGTTTTCATACTAATGACTCTAATGCTTTTTATACAAGTACTCACACTAAACTCTTATGAACTCACCAGCTTTATGCTGATACTCTTTTCAAAATAACTTGTGTCTTCAGGTCAAAGATAGACAGGTACAGCCGCAACATTTTTGGAGACGATGGAGGATGCAAGACCCATGTCTCATTTTTGTTTACTTTTGGTGTTTGTCAAACATTACAAAACACACTTGTAAATACACTTACTATGTAAATGAAATGGTTGTATGTTTCTTGCTTTTACTATTATACAATTGTGATGATACTGTACACTACGTCATCCACCCCGAAACGTATTCCGCCGTTATCGGTTTTGGGGTGTGACAGATATTCCTAAGTGTTATTCCAAAAGAATCCATATGTTTTTGTAGCCAAGAAAAGGGCATTGGATGTGAAGTTGTCGTTCTACCTGAACGATCATAAGGATAGTAAAGTCAAATTGTATAACTATACTTCAGGTAAATACACTATCTAACTATATTAAGTTCCTATTTATAGATTCTTAATACATGATGTGATAAGATTTCATTTTGATATTTTTGAGGATGAAAGAAAAGGAAGCTTAAAAGAAGAAGTAAGTTGAGTCTAATTATGAAGAGATGGATTTTATTCACATGGTTCGATGATCGGATGTTTGAGCTCCTACTTAGGAGTTATGATAGATTGCTTAAGGAATATTTAGTAACATAGTTTCCATATGTATTTTCGTTGTAAGGACAAGTTTTTCCGCAATTTATTTATAAAATTAGATTTTGATTTTATCTTATTTTACATATCCTTCTAATGTCATTTGTGAAAATTTTTGTCTATAATTCTAATGTTAGCAATATTGAAAATGGATTTGATTCTTAGTTATATCATTTGCGGTATTGTCTCAATTGACCAAGTGAGGAAGGATTCTCATCACCCAAGTTTCAATTGGACAGAAACATATAATCGTGCAATATTGAATTATGTGATATATGAGAATCTTGATACTTCAGAAATTGGGACTAATTCCTTGTTCATATGTACGTGAGTTAAGTGAAAGATTAAAGGATCTAGTACACATTGATGTGCACTGGTCAGATCCACTACAAAGGACGAGAAAGTCTATTCGTCGTGATTAACTAATGATTCTATAAATATGATTATACTTACAATATTAAGTATAATTCTAATACATTGAAAAGTTTCAAAGTATACCAAAACGAATAAGAAGAATCAATTAGGCAAAAAGATAAAAGTTTCTCTGGTCTGAAAGGAAAAGAGAGTACTTTGGTAACTCGTTTTATGATTGTCCTAATGATTGTGGAACCATGTCAGAATTGACCCTATAAGGACACCTTAGTGCATCTACAGTACTAAGAAGAGGTATCGGGAATAGTTGAAATGGTTAAATCAAAAGGATAAATCTTACTTCACTCCAAAATCAAGTTCTAGAGTTATTCCAAGTTGTACCTTGAGTAACATGTTCTAAGTACGTTTATAACACCTCATGAAATGTGGAGTAGAAATGTTTCTTACTCTTGCGCATTTAAAATTGGTAGTTGTGATGTTTTGGCTAAAACAAAGACCATCTAAGACCACTTATATGAAGTGTTTCTTGATAAGAACCTGTGCTAACTGTTGAATATATGTTTGTCAAAGAATGTTCCTTGACAGAGAATCTTATATATCAAGAGGTCAGTGGGAGTCTTAAGTTTTCTTGAGTGGTTTCAAGAACTAAACACGAATAAACCTTTTAGGAATCACTAGCACACAACTAAAGGTTGATAACATATTGTGTTGACATATTCTTGTTTCTGTGCCCATTCCAATAAGGTTGACTACGCATGTGATCTTTATGAGTTCTCATTTGATTGCGTAAGATAAAGCACCTTGATCAGTGAATGTATATTGATTTGTATGGGTGAGCTACTCAATAACTTGGAAGCACTAGTAGGCCCTTGTGTTGTCGGATGGCAAGAAATTAAGATTAAGCAAGTTCAGTCCATATGAGTTTGAATTTGTCAATAAACCTTGCTTTATGATAGTTGTTAGAAATGACAAATTCACCCATGGATTGGAACACATACACCTTAAAATCCAAGTGGCAATAGGTTTCTTTCTACATCATCAAAATGATTGTGAGGAAATGCTTTCAATAGTAGATTTTAAAGGATTAGAGTTAGTAGTTGTGATAATTGTGCTCTCAAATTCAATTATCATTACGACATCCCTTTTCATAGTTCCAATTGTGAGAAATGGCAAATAGGTAGAACATTTGGGACTCATTGCTATAAGTTCGGAAAAGGTTTACACACACACCTGAGCTATCTAATGAAAGGTGTATAAGCTTGAAAATTCCAGGTAAAGACTTATCGAAGCACCACTAATAAGATATTTGAACTTTTGTGACATCCCTATTTTCACGGCCAAAAAAGACCGATTTTGTTTATGTTTTATAAAATCAGAGTACCACTTTTAATAAAAATGTCACGGAATTTGTTCCCAGTAAAATATGATAAATATGTTATCAAGGCATTTCCGAAGGAAAGTATTTTTATTCATTTTAAAACATTTGAGATGTCATCGTCGATACAGAAACATAAGCATAAACAGAACTTACATTCATTGTCACTAGTGATATATATCTCCTTAATCTCTCAGTGTAATGTGACCTCATATCAACACCTGTGATATAAATAAACTGAGTGGGTCAGGTTGGGAAACCTGGTGAGTACATAGGGTTTTCAATCGACAATAATATAATTATTATGTTTAATCTTCAAACATTTAATCAACCCAATTACCCATCCCCATTATCTTCTTTACTCTTAAGGATCTACCCTAAGAATCAGCTATTCCTCGTTCATTTATTCTTAAGGATTATCCTAAGGAATAGGTACGAAGTCCATCATTACCAAGGTTTATAGATTATAACTGGTGAACACGTAGTCCAAAACATCCGGTGAACACTTGGTTCAAAAATAGCTAGTGAACACACTTAGTTAAAAACACTTAATGAGAAGCTAGTTCAAAAACACATACAGGTTACGAGCCTGCTAGCGTTCCACTAGATTGTCTAGTATAGTCCGTTGTCATCATCTATACTCCACTAGATAATTGGATCATTGTCAACATTGATGTCTTTCATCTTTTTATTATACAACTACTATTTCATCTATCTATGTTTTACCCAACACATTTTATAGATGTAAAATACATATACAGTTTAAATCATTTAAAACATGTATAGAAATCCTTCATCCAACATAGACAACAAGTATTCAGACAATATGCACACATAACACGTAATTTATATTAAAATAATCCATATCTATATGTAAGATGAAAGGGACCTTGCACTCACATGAAAAGGTGGTGACTCGGCACTCGGACGAAACTTCATTTACTTTAAACAATTCCTTTGACAATACCTAATATCATTACCACTAGAATTTAGTCTAATGCTCGACAAGACTAATTAATAGTCTAACTATTATTACTATTATATAAGTGTTAAAACATTATTTTTCACCAACTATGTACATATAGGGGCCAGACATAGAACACCGGAGGACAGGATCATTTAGTCATATACCACTTCTGAAATCCAGGAACCCAAGCGACCTTCCAAACCAGATTCTCCGTACCGTGAGTGGTTTAAAAGATAGTATAACGACACTTATATAACTCATACTATTAACCCAAATATTAATTATAAGGTCATGATAACATTATTATATTTAAATAAAAACTATATTTACAATAGCATAGATGTATCATACTTACGAGGGGGTTTGGATAGAAGTCGGTATCCGCAGGGGTAGAACTTCTGAGCCGAAAGCTCTTCTTCTTGGAGCCGTCGAGCGCTCCGGGGATTTCTTCTAACGCTAGGGGAGTTTTAGGAGGTTTAAAGAGAGAGTAGAGAGAAGAAAGAATGGGAAAGGTGTGACGAAAAATAAGGGTGGGAGAGGTTCTATTTATAGGGTTAAATATGGTTGAACTTGGTGCCACATGTCACCATCCGGTGGTAAGACTTGGGGAGAAAGCAATGGCCAAGATTGTGCCACGTCACTCATTTTCGCACAAAAAAACTTCCGACTTCTAAAATCCGCAACTTTAGCATACGAGCTCCATTTTTGCCATTCTTTATATCCACACGTAGGTTGAAATAAGATCTACAACTTTCATTTTGATTCCGTCGACTAATTCTATATCGATCTTAAATTTAACAGTAAGAGGAGATTATACAGTTAAATTTTGGCGTAAACTTCATAACTTCTACATATGGACTCCGTTTTTGTTTGTACTTATACCGCTGAGTTCCTATTAATAAGCACTACTAGAAAAATAGCCTTTTACGACGCGCGAACCATGACACGCAGTGATTTATGATACGCAAAGGTGAGTGTCTAAAAAATAATATCATATCTTCCAAAATTTAAAGGATTTCAGACGCTCATTTTTGCGTGCCCTAAAATTAGTGTCTAAACAAAAAAAAAAAAAAAAAAAAAAAAAAAAAAAAAAAAACACGGAGGGCACCTGCGTGTCGTCTACGACCGTCGCTTTATAAATTTTAATAGAACACGCGCGTTCCATCCGGGGAAAATGAAATCCCAAAAACTTGAAATCCGCGCCTTCCTTTTTTTCTCCCTTCACTTTAATTTCCCTAATAGCTAGGGCTTTTTTTCAAGAACTTGCCCCGATTGCCCTCCTGTACTGCTCGTTCTCTCTTCAATTTCCCTTTCTCTCCTTCTCACTTCGACAAACCCTTTCTCTTCTTCTCAGTTCTCGATGTCAACAGCTTCTCCTACCTCCAACGTTTCTCTTGGTGTTGGTGCCTCCCACCTCTGACCTCCGTCTAGCCCCGCCCCACCGTCCAACGCTTTCCAGCATCACCCAAACGATGGAGACCCTCATCTTCGGCAATCTCACCTCGCCTGCCCTTGCCAGCAACATTAGGTCCAGTGACCTTAGGGTCACTGCTTCTATTGCTCAAATTTACAAGCCCTATGTCTTATTAAGGTATGTTTTTCTTGATTCTAACTTCTCAATGTTTTCGCTCTTCTATAAGATTCTCATGGCTCCTTTACTTTCCATCTTCGTGCTGTTAGTGTTTGTACTCCACGTTGCCTCTGAATCCACGAGAGAAGTAGTAGAACAAATCGATGGAGAAGAATTCACTGAGGAGTTGCTTTTCAGGTCACTTCTTGATCAGAAAGCTCTTTCTGATTTTCACTTCAAGAGTAGGGTTCCTCCGACAAATTCTTATGGACATCAACACCGGCTTTTTCCCAAACCTATCTATTAGCTGGTATGATTACAATAGTTCGTTAGTTACTTTACTTGATCAGATTCATTTTTCTATCTAGGCATTATTTGAATCCTTAGGTTTAACAGTACCAAACTCTTTCTAATTGTTGCTCTGGTCCATCCTAATTGAGTATAGGGTTTAATGATTCATTGATTAGGATGATTTGTCAAGTTGATCATTATATCATCTAGTTTTGAGGGGTTTCTTCAATAGAAGGTCTAAGCATGATTTGTCAAGTTGATCATTATATCATTTAGTTTTTACCTGAGATTTTTTGTTGCCAGCTATCCCTTCGAGTCCTTCATTTGGAGATTTTGTTGTCTGGAAAGGGGAGACTGCAACTCCTACTCCTGCTCTAGCTTGGTCAACTGATTCAGGAAAGATTGCAAGGCATACTTCCTTAAGGTACATACTTAAAGAAAAAGAGAATAAAGGTGGTGGTTCTTCTGTTCAACAACAACAACATCAAGTACATGTCCCAATGTAGAAGCCCATGTCATCATCTGTTCAAACTAAAAATGGTCCTTCATGGTCATCACCTGTCCAGATTATGTCACATAGTGGGACCACTCTTATGTATTATGTCAAAAGCACCTATTCAGAAATTTGATGATTATGTAAGTCATCTTTCCTCTTCCTTTTTGATTCTTATTATTTATGCACCCTTATGCCACAAATCTCTTTATTTATCATACTAAATATGCAACCATCCCTTATTTTACTCCTAACTTGTTGTATAATTCATTCGTGTCAGCTGCATATATGTTGCATAAAATAAATTGGTAAAAGTAGACATGTGAATTATGGTTGGAGTGTTTATATTTAAAACGATTAAATGCATATGCATATTTATGAAACAACATACACCCTCTTCCCGATTCTGCAACAAATTTGTTTCTTTATTAGAAAATATGCATTGGTGTATTATTTATTGTAGGACCAAAACATACGATGTTTTACCAGCAACCTGTTTAACCTGATGAAACATGGGTGTATAAGTTGCATAAATAGGTTAAAAAGGGAAAGATGATTGCATAAATTGGTAAAAAACTGGAACAGTGTTGCATGGATTGGATAAATCAGAAACATAGTTATTATGTGAGTTAAGTTGGTGTGTTCTTGTTTCTATATGTATAAACTTGATATTTTGTTAGGGCTTTTTTTTTTCCAGCAAATCCTGTCTCAGTAAATATATTTATCAATCCACATAATTTTATACATAATGGACAATTATGCCGTTTACATGTTTACTTCATTAGATTTTCAAAATTAGATCATATTTTTCTTTTTTATCGCGGGCATGTTTCTTACCTTTGAAGCTAGCTAAAATTCACAATATTGCCAATTAATATCCTTTTCTTTTACCATGTTCGTTCTTTAATCCACTAAGATTCATTGTTTTGACTGTTATACCCCTCAATTTGAAACTTCATTTTTTTTCTTCCTTGATCATTCTTTAAACCATCATAATCATAGAATTAATATATTTAGAAACATATGAATCATAACTAGATCATATGCATGTTGGATTTTTATGCTTCAATCCAGATGTCTGGTTAAATTTATTTGACTTGTTTATTGCATTGCAGGTAGGTAGTTGATGAATGAGGCTTTCTCATCCTCCTATTGCATTGGATTTGGTTGAAAAAAATAGATGGTAAAAAGAATCAAGGATGGGGTCAAAGGAAGTAAGTGGGGAAAAGTATTCAAAATCGTCAGATGAGTACTTATGCTCTTCTCTTTGTGTGTTTTTGAATCAAACCTGTAAGTATTGTCATATATATCTTAAGTTCTTGGGTCATTATGCGACATTACCATACGTAACAATCTAATTATCTATGCCACCCTGTTTTTGGCTGCATGTTGCATTCTTTTGATATTATTTTTTGTGTATTTGATTCAGGTGCATGATAATGTTTGTTTGGAAAGTGTGGTGGTTAATCTAACTTTGGACTTGAAGTTTTATGCTTTTGATGCTATTTTTAGTTTGATGGGAATAATGAACTCTCTACTGGACCAATGTTTGTATGCCATCCTCATTTATACTGCCTTTCTCTAATGGAATCTTATATAAAAACAATTTAAAATGCTTAAATACCTTTTTGACGGATTTTGGGTTCTTAATTTTTATTTATTAATCTAGCAATACGAATGGCTTCTTGGCACACAATTCTAACCATTGGAGTTGGCAAAATCATACTCGACAACAATCTAGAAATCTACACCATGGCCAACTGATTTTGGGGTTTACGTAAGCTTTTTTTACCCGATTTCTTTTTTTATAAAAAAAAAGATTGTTTAATTTTTAACTAGTATACAGAGGCTGATGTGTACAAGCAACTCTCTACTTATGTTATCTCCTGGATGCTGATCGTTGCATTGATAAGGTTATTTTTGTCATTAGTTAAAAATTTCAGATATTGATATGAAGTGTTTTATAATTGGTTAATGTATAAAATGAGTTTGGTTTCAGGTTGATGCTAAGTTGAAGGCCACAGTTGAGAAAGAGGTTGGTAGGATAAGAGGTTTGGTTGGATTAGCTTTTTCCACAGCACAGAAGATTAGGGACAGGTGTGATTATGTTTGGGTCAAACTTAATGATCTTTTCGCCTCAATTTAGTAAAATAAGGGATTAGAGTTGATTAAATTTAAATCCCATTTAAAGAAATACAAATTGGCTTTCAAATCATGGTGAAGAAGCTAAGCTAACAGAGTTGTGTGGCTTTGTGATGAAAGATGAATGAAGATGTTATGGTGAAGCCCTGCCAATGACACATAAACTAAAAGGTCTATATTTTTTTTCTTGATTAAGTCTTGTTTTTGTTAAGTAAACAAGAAACATAAACTAAAAGGTCTATATTTTGTTTCTTGATTGGTTTGATGCAACAACTTCTTTCGCTGGTTCAGTGGGACCCAATGTGAAGATGACATGGATTATATTCAAGATGGAGTATGTTCAGATTATATATTCTTTTAATTAATCATGCATAAAAAATAAGTATCTTTTTATTGTTTGCTTGAATAAAACCTTTTCTTTTTCTTTTTTTGAAATCCACCTTCCTTCATTATTGTGTTACTGATTTTGTTTTTGAAAATTATTTTTTTAAAGGATGCTGATGAAGACGACTTTGGTGATGAGGATGATGAAGAGGTAAACAAGTATAAAAACCCTTTTATATATCGATCTCTGCTAAAAGGATATCTATTGCTTGATGATCTTTCTGCAAAGTGAAGTACAAAATATATTTGGCATATGATCTAATATATTTTGTACTTCAATTTGCAGAAAGATCATCAAGCAATAGATATCCTTTTAGCAGAGATCGATATATATGAGTTTTTGCTTTCAAACATTGTTGGGGAAGAAGGTTGAAACTTGCTCTTTGTGAAGGTAATTTTTTTTCCTAATGTATTATCCTCTATATTCTTGATATTTTCCCACTTTTAAAATCCTTTATCAAATTCTCACTTTTGGATACAGAGCTTGATGAGAGAATGTGTGACCTAAATCTTTTATCAAATTCTCACTTTTGGAGGTGGCCATAAGAAAAGGTAAGCAAAGGGTAATTTGGTATTGTTGCTGTTATTGTGTATTACAATACTTCCATGTATATATGTATAAAGTTTGTTCTTATTCGGATTTTCCTTTTACCATTGATTTCCTTATTGAGGCATTTTACTTTGAAAATGTTAATTCTTACCTTTTGTCCATGTAGGATCCACCAAGAATAGGAAAAACACAAACAATTTTTGGGCTTCTTAGTGCCATATTGCATACCAACTGAGTATCTAAGTCTCTTAACTTTGTAAGACATTGATTACTTGAGGGTATTTTTAGTAACATTGTAAGAGAATGATTACTTGAGGGTACTTATGGTATATAATGTTATATTCTTTTGTTAACATGGTCCTTAGTGCAATGAACTATCTTTATTGTTTATGGCATTTTATTTTGTATTATGAGACTTTTAATGTATTACTTAATTTGAAAATTAGTAAATCTATCAAAAAAGTATTTTATTTCTATTATGAGAAATTAAATGCAAATTTAATTTAAAAATTAATAAATATATAATTTTTTTTATACATTTAAAATTACGATACGCAAAAATGTGTGTCATCTTCATTTATGACATGGCCTTTCTTGACAGGGACTTTCTTGATACGCATTGCGTGTCATTAACACGCGCGTCGTAAGGTTACGACACGCGAATGCGTGTCGTCTTCCTTTATGACAGTACCTTCCTTGATACGCATTGCGTGTTGTAAACGCACGTCGTAATTACGCGTTGTAAATGAGCGTCGTAAATGAGTGTCGTAAATGCGCGTCGTCTCTTTTTATGACAAGGCCTTCCTTGACGCGCATTTGAGCGTCGTCTGAGCCTTTTACGACGCGCAATGAGCATCGTAAAAGGCTGTTTTTCTAGTAGTGAAGATATTCAACTCTCATTCAGGTAGCGTATGCCAAAAACTACTCGATCTAAAATTCGAGTTTCGGGTTGTGCATTATTATGCCAAATTTTAGAAAATTCATAACTTCCTCATACGAAGTTAGATTTGGGCATTATTTTTTGTATGTTCTCAGTTTAATGTATACTACAACTTTTTTTTAGATCACTAAGGCCAAAAATTCCTCTATCGTAAATTCACTATTTACGTCTCTCGGTATCGTGCCGGTTTTTGCCGTATAACCTCGACGAGCCATAACTCCTTCGTTATAACTCTGATTTCGGCGTTCTTTATATGTATGGAACCCTTGTAACATATACTAACACTTGCTTAAGATTACTCCTTCTAAATAATATTCCATCAATAATTCATTTTTTATGCTTTTTGTCTCTAAATTGACTAGCCCGGATCTACGGGCGTTACAATTATCTCCCCCTTAGGGTGATTACGTCCCAGAATCATTAATGAAACAAGGCTCGCATGATGACTCCATATGTTATCTCTTCATCCTAAGTAATAACCGTAACTTTGATGTTTCTTTGAATGTGTATCTAACTCTTGGTCTTCTTTACTACAAGCGGTGCTTGATCTTGCACCCATTCTCTATGTGTTGTTACACTTTCAATCATGACCTTCACGTCACAAACTCGCTCTTTGTCAGAGACTCCTTCTTCTTACAAACTTAAGATAAGTTTATTTGATTTCCGTGATAGATCGATGGGTCATGCTCTAATGAACTCTCATTGTATGTTGCAATGCTCAAACTTAGGTCTCTTAGAGTCAAATTCCAGAATGGAATATACTTTCATTCATGTTCTAATGTGATATAATCACATTTTAACATGTAGTATTTCTAGCTACCAAATTATATAACTAGTGAGATACTTCTATTGACCACTTCGATTATCTTTCACTTCAATCTTTTGGCTTAAGTTAGGTGCTACATCGAACTTGGTTCTCTAAACCACGTAAAATATTCATCTTAGTTGGACTCAATTTGATATCACCACTAGGTTTGAAATAACAATCATTTTCTTAATCATTACCAAAATGATGGTAACAACATACTTGAATAAAACAAAATCAATTACTAGCTTCTTGGTAACCTTGTGACTTTCCTTGATCGAAGTGTGAGTCATGTGCTTCCAGTAGTATAGGCCTCTACTACCATTCACACCTACTCATACTCTTCCCAAGTATTATCTTGCAAATTTCCAAGTCACCATAAAAGAAAATCACATAACAACTTAACACACACAATAACAAAACAACAGTTTTATATTATTCTTTGAAATGATTACATAGGTTTTCAAGTTCACCTTAGACTATGCCTCTAATAGGCTACACCATGCGATACTATCCTCACGGCTATTGCATAACTTGATGAAGTCCTCATCCTCAATTCCTCGTGTTGTTTTCTACTTCATCAAGAATCATGTGGAATACCCTTGGCCTTGATGGTGTGTTTGGTCTTGCTGCTTCATTCTTCTTTGGGAAATTCTTTGAAAGATACTCTCCTTGTTTACATTTATAACACACCCTCTTGTTGGATGTACACTCATTGGCGTAATGCCTAAACTTTCCACACCTGAGACATGTCACCTCCTCGTAGCATTTTCCAAAGTGTTTCTTCTTGCATTTATCACACCATCTTGCTTCACCTCCTCCTCCTTCATACTTCAGGAATTTTCTCTCCTTGTTGTACCTTGAAGATCCTTCATGCTTCCTTTTCTCGCCAACTTCAGCTCTCTCAAAACCCTTCTCTCTTATTTGGGTCTCCACATTCTTAGCAGCCCAGATAACAGCCTTCAGAGTGGTTTCTTGCTTGACCATTGGACCAAAGTCCGCTAGTAATCAGTGGGCAAACTTGTTGACCTTGGAGAGCTCAGTTGGAACTAGATAAGGAACGAGCTTCATCTTCTTCGTAAAACTTTCTGAATACTCAGTCACACTCATCCTCCCATTTTTAAATTCTGGAATTCATTGATGATCTCCAAAAGATCCTGATCAGAGTAGTACTCCAAAATATGCTGAATACTCAGTGACATCTTGCTTGCTTCTCCCATGGGCATCGTGTTAGCTAGTAGCTTCCACCAGCTCAGTACTCCAGACTTTAACAGAGGGACCGCAAGGGCGGTCTTTTGTTTGTTTCTACACTCATAACTCTCAAACATTTTCTCCATCTCGGAGATCCAATCCATAATTTCTACCATTGATGGGCTTCCAGAAAGACTCGGGGGTTTGGATGCCATAAGATACTTGTACTTGCATCCACGTCTATCATTTCCTCCATCCTGATTGTTTTGTCTAACTATTGGTGGGTTGTCATGACCAAACGTCCCACTTTACTTCCCTCCTTCTGACTTCCCATCATTCAGCTCGGGCTGTTCAATAGGCATCATAAGTTAATCTCGATTTTGTTGAAGTAATTGCCTTGTTTCCTCCATTCGACGATCCAACAACATTTGGATCATCTCTTGTACCCCGGTCATTATGATTGGCTCAGGTGCGGTTACAACAACAGGTATTTGTTCAAGCACTGGGGGTTGTTAATTCCTATTTCCATTCGCGTTCCCGACTCCACTTCGGGTTCTTTCCATTTCAATTTATACACCAAATCAGAAGGACGGTGTTTAATTACTAGAATTAAGATAGGAAAGATTTTATGTATGATTGACGTATAAATCCCGTTATCTCTCCGAAAAGTTATATGCCAGTTCTAATACCGTAATTAAATGTTTAGAAACCTGAACACATAAAGTTTCCAGATCCGGTCGGCAATAGACCATAGATCCGATCATATAATGCATATCATATGTCATTTAGCACATGAAAGCATGTTAGGCATTTTTTCCTAAATAAGCTAGTGCTTGTGTCTACTTAGCTGTATTACCTAAATTTATTACACACGCTCCTCACGATCATCGCTGAGCATTCTAAGTTTAAGTCTAGAAATAAATCCTATTTCCTAGTTCACTTAAAATAATGCTCTAATACCAACTATGACATCCCCATTTTCACGGCCATAAAAGACCAATTTTGTTTACGCTTTATAAAAACCATAGTACCTCTTTTAATAAAACTGTTGCGGAATTTGGTCCCAGTAAAACATGATAAATTCGTTATCAAGGTATTTCCGATGTAAAGTATTTTTATTCATTTTAAAACATTTAGGATGTCATCGTCAATACTGAAACCTAAGCATAAACAGAACATACATTTAGTATCACTAGTGATTTATATTTCCTTAATCTCTCAGTTTAATATGACTTCATATCAACACCTGTGATATAAA